TGATTTCCCTTGAAAAATGGTCTTCATTGGCAAATGAACTATGTCAGTATCAGCTGGGAAAGAAGAGGGAGGAGATGAAGAGATCTGGTTGCAGATCCTCTTTCTGTCTAACATCTGCTGGAGCCCTGGCAGGTTGACTTGCTGCCAGCCTGACAAAGGAGAGGGGCTGGGCTTCTAGAGAGCTAGAGGCTCTGGCTGGATTGCTAGGCCTGGGACTAGGGAAATGGAAGGGCTTCCCAATTATCAATGGGTCTGAGTCCACAGCTTGCTTGCTCTTTCTAGATATGAACTGTTATTTCATTAGTGACCTATTTTTAGCAATAATAGGTATACAAAAGACAGAAACCTTATATGGATGGGGGCTCAAATTGGGAAAAGAATGGAGGATTTCCATCACTTTTTACTGCAGAAGCTCCAAAGACTATGAGGATTTCAATTCTCCCACCATGTTTGACTTGTCTACTCAAGCCTCAGGATTCATAGAGCAGCAGAACTGTCCAGAAGCAGTATTGTGGCTTTACCAGCCTCACTATCACACATTACCCCTCTGCTTTCACCATATCTTGCTCCAGGCAAACCCCTGAGAGCCATCAGCAAGAGCTACCCCATCAGTGTCTACCAGAGTGGCCTGGGTGAGCTCTGGTCTCCTCACCATCATCCATTAGGTCTAGCTTCCCTAGTTTTGACCTCTGCAATCTTGTTATTTCTTATATTGCTGGCACTTTGGAGCAAAAGATAACTTTTGGAAAAATAAGCCAATTCAATTCTGTGTTCTCTCTCACTCTCTCCTTAGTCTCTTAAGTACTTATTTCAAGGACCCATGTAGGGAACAGCAGAAAGCCTACAGATCTAACCACACTTTCATCCATCAGTCTCAATGATCATATCCATTATCCCTCTATTAATATTATTTATCCCCAACTTAGCAAATTCACTAAAGACATAGACTGAGGCAATGATATTTACTATCATTCATAGTTTGGGAACAAAAACACATCTCTCTTTTGATCAAGTTATCCTCTCTCTCTTTTTGGAGAGCACAGCCTGAACAGGTGACCTACTCAATTCTTTGAGATGAGTTGATACTTATTAAAAAAACATGCTATCACATAACCTGCCTTAAAATGTAACAGGCCACATGCTGACTTAAATATAACACAGCACAACCATGACTTAGCTTGTCTGGAGGAAAAGAAAAAACGTATTTAGAATAGAGAGACGTATAAGCAATGGAAAAGTTGGTTACACATTATAGATCGTAATAAATGAAAATATCAAGTGCATTTTAAATGATTAATGTATGACAGCTCTCATCACTTACTGCGCATTAATCAAGAAAGAATGCACCCTTCCCACAGTGGTTAAGGTTGCACACCCACTGTTCAGCTTCGAGAATATGCATACTAATGCTTGGTATGACAATGAGTTGGGGTAGCTGAAAATTTAGGATGGTTGCAAGTTTTGTGTAGTATTTGGATTAGCATCTTAATCTGGGCCTTGTCAGCCTCATCAGTACACAAGCTATGCATTTTTTTTCCAAAACTAGCAAAAATATGGATGCATTTGAAATCTTTTTTTTTCTTTTTAAATAAAGAATAATGACCAAAGTACCTGCTTAAACAAATACTACCAGCATTCATTAGTTAGGATGGTTACATGTAAAAGAAATGATGCCAGATAGTAACAAATCCAAGAGAAGTTTATTATGAAAATGGCACCTGCGGATGAAAAAAATTAAGTTACATAAAGACAACCATGTATGTGACATGTATGAGAAATCTACAAAAGTATAAAAAGAACCCTGTTGTAAATGAAGTATGTACATTTCTGATTTGCAGCATTATCAATGGTCAATGAAAAAAAATGTTTCAAAATAAGCCAGGCACTCAGGAAGTTAGGTCCGGTTAGCTTCACACAAAACAAATGTACCATAGCTGTCGCTTTGTAATGTTTTAATTATTTTTATATATATATCGTAGAGTTGGTAACACTGCTAAGATTTTTACGAACAGAATATCCCTTTCCCCATTATTCAGCTACTTGGCACCAGTCTCCTCATAAAAGTTTTCATATATTTGTACAAGAAATAGTTAAAAACACAGACACAGTCTTCACAGGTAATGAAGTGTTTTTTTTTTTTTCATTTTGTATTTTAAACACTATGGATTTAGACAGCAGCTGTGATTATCTGTTAGTTTAAATCACCAGAAATCATTTTGACACAACACAGAAACATTTATAAAAGAAAAATAAGACAGCTGTCTAGCTGTTCTTTGTAGCTGATAGGTGCATTCCTTTGATTGTTCGATAGCTAGAGTAGAGCTTCCACGATTAATCTTTAAGTTTCTCAATCGGCCTTCTTCATCTTCTAAACCTATTGCAATCCTTCAAGTAAGCTCACTACTAAAATTTGTGGCATCCACTTCATTCTGTTATTATGTCACCATAGCTTGGGCCCAACTCATGGAATCAAAGGTTCTAGAGGAATCCACTCCACACAGTGATATTCAAAGGACAGCTGAGTTACTATATTAGCATTGCACGAATAAACAAATATATATGACAATTCTATATTCCATTACCCCCACCCATTTTGTTTTTTTTAAAAAAATGTTGGTTGACCTTTGAAATAATTTTCTGTCTCACTGGTAATTGCTTTATATATTGCTCCATCAGCCAACCTGAAAAAAAAAAAAAAGAAAAGCACCCACTGCTTATAGGTAGAGCACAAGGGACTCTGGGAATGTTAACAACTGAGGCTGTATGGCATCATTTATTTAATATATCTGAGCATTATTCTTCAGTGCTTTTTGTTGCACTCCAGGAGAGAGAGAGAGAGAGAGAGAGAGAGAGAGAGAGAGAGAGAGAGAGAGAGAGAGAGAGAGAGAGAGAGGAGAGAGAGAGAGAGAGAGAGAGAGAGAGTGAGTGTGTCAGTCATACCCAGAATTCCATTGTGGGGAAAATGGCTCCATTAACCTTGAGCTAGTTAAGAGTCTTTTTATCTCTGAGAATGAAAAGGATTTGGAGGACCAGGGATGGAAAGCAGAGGAAGGAAAGGGGAAAACAGGAAAGGGAAGGGAAAATCAGGAGAGGCAGGGAGAATATACACCAGCAAAGCAACGGCAGGAATTTTCAAAAGTAAAACAGAGGATTCACAGACAGTAGAAGCAGTATAGGGTGACATTACAGAGGAAGGCCACCACACAAAAACCACTAACCCCCAAGAATCACTGATTCACTAGGACTGCAGGAATGGGACTGTACCACTCCAGACTAGAGATAGAGCACAGAGAAGACAAAGGACAAAACAACTACGTTAGCTTAGTATATACTGCATATAGAAACACACATTGAAACTGCAATGGGACTGACAGCCGAGGACACGTACACATTGTACACATTACAGTTCTCACATCTGTTATTAGATGCCTTAACAAACAACTGCCAAAAATGAAGCAGGAGAAGAATTTATACTTGACAGTCATTTGGAGTGTTTGACACCACACTGATTTCTGGCAATGCAGACAAAATAGGATTATTTTTTTATTTTTCCTTATTTTTCTTTTTTTTTGTTTTGTTTAACTTTAATGTGCAGTTTTCAGTTGCAGTTATCTGTCTGAAGCTTATTAACCCATTCTTTAGTTTTAAAACATATTGGTTTTAACCCAGAGATAAGAACTCAAAAGAAAATAAATTCCATCAAATCAGTCCCTCAACATACAACCTTCCTTTTTTTTAAGCAAAAAGTGAAAGAAAAACAAAACCCAACAAAAACATGTTTTCCTTCTTTGACTCCTAAGTATTATTGAAGTTGTAAAATTAGCCTCAGTTAGACTGAGTTAAAAAAATAAAAAGCTCAACAAAAGGCAGATGTACCTAAACTGCTCCTCAAATCAGTTTGATTGAGTTCACCAAATGCCCCCCTTTTAAAAGGGCTTTACTGACCCATTAAATTTAATGTGAGGCTATGTTTGTTAGTTGGGAGGTAAAACATTTTAAATCCTGCAGCAAACGTTAATGAGGGCTTTGTCTTAACTAACCAAGGAGACTGCAGCAACTGACTCCACACCAGGACAGAAAACATTGTGGTTTTTTTTTTTTTCTTCTTTTTCTTTTTTTTCCCCAAAAGCCAGCCCAGGAGCTGCATTTTGTATGAAGACATTATAGATTAATAAATGATAGCACCATGATTTTAGAAATTAAGTTAATGTTTCAGTAATTAACATTTAGTCCAACTTTTTTTTGTAAAAACAAAAAAAAAACCCAACACATTCTAGTCATAGGCCAGAAATTAAGTTTAAGAGCCCAAATTATTTTTTTTTTATGTGCAAGTAAGAAAAATCTTAAAATCTTAACCATAAAAAAGAGAATTAAATTCTGCATAAAATTCTAAAATACTATTCCCCTATTTTTTTTTTTAAAGGAATTAGGAACAGAAACAAACAAACAAAAACCCACCACCCCATTTCATTTGACTTAGTCAAACAGGGCACATTGTTTATGCTTGTCTCTTTCCATCTTGATCACATCAAGATCTTTAGGAAGAAACCCTCAATGGTTGTCACTCGAGAAATCTCTTGACCACGAGACTGAGTATTCTATGGCAGAGGCATATACACGTTAAAGACATCTTAATAAAGATGCAAAGAAAAGCCAAACAACCCAACACACATCTTTAGAAGAAGACAAAATGGCAGGCAGTTGAACTGGTCATCTGACCCTCGGAAGGCCAAAACAATAAAACTTGTCTTTACACAAAAGAATTAAGTCAACGTGAAAGGAAGGGGAATGGGATGGGGGGGGGGGGAGGGGGGGGACCGCCGCGTGGAGAGGACGCTGACCTGCTCGAATTCAAAGTGCTAGAATTAAAGGTCTAAAAACTGAAAACGCCGACCACCATGCCTCCTCTGAGGAGCCCTGCGCATGCGCGTGCGGCATGCGCACGACCCACATGTGCACGCACGCACGCACGCACGCACGCAGGCACGCGAGCGGACGCCTCAGTCCTCCTTGCGCTCCAGAGTCTGTGCGGCGTGGATGCCATTGCTGTAGACCGGGAAGGGCAGCGTGGAGAAGAGTCCCTCGGCCGTGGTGAACACGTTGCCGGCGGGCATCTGCGTCAGGCTGGCGGCGCTCACCGCCCCGCCGAACGGTCCCGACATGTTGAGCCGGTGCACGTGGTGGTAAAGCATCTCCATGGGCGTCTTGGGGTCGAGGCCGAAGCCGGGGCTGTTGACGTCCACGAAGTTGACGGCGTGTGCGTTGGGCAGCAGGTTGCCCTGCATGGCCAGGGTCACCTCGGCGGGCGCGTAGCGGATGGTGCCCGTGGTGTAGACCCTCTGCGCCGCTGTGCTGGTGGCCGCCAGGGTCCCGGTCACCCGGTGCACCAGGGGGAGCACGACGTTGCCGGCCTGTAGCCTCTGCAGAGCCTCCAGGTCCCCAGTGTACAGCAAGGAGTTAGACGCCCCGGGGCCGCCGCCGCCATTGCTGCCGCCGCCTCCGCTGCCGCCGCCCCCGGGGGGGTGCTTGTCCCGCGGGGACGCCGAGAGCGGGGGCGACAGCGGGTCTGAGGCCGCCGCGGCCACCACCGGGGCCAGGGCTGTGCTGCCTGAGGTGCTGAATTGAGTCTTGCGGGTGGCCGCGCCGCCGCTGTCGGCGCCCGGCGGGGTGAGGACCGAGTCCGGGATGGCCACGTGCAGGCCCGCGCCGCCGCCGCCGCCGCCGCCGCCGCCGCCGCCGCCACCGGGCGGGGACGGGAAGTGCTCGGAGCTGGGGGGCTTGGTCATGCTGTAGGGAGACTCATTCCGGGAGATCTCCCGGTTGGGCGGGTAGTTCCAGATGCTGCTGTCGTTGTCGAAGTTGATGGGTTCCGAGATCTCCGTCTTGATCTTGAGCACAGAGGCACTGTGAGGGGAAGACAGCAGCCGCGGGGGCTCCACAAGCCCGGCTGCTGCTGCTGCTGCTGCTGCTGCTGCTGCTGCTTCCAGGCCGCCGCCGCCACCGCCACCGCCAGGACTCGACGCGCTGGAGAGGCGCCTGCGGCTGGCGCTGCCGCCCTTCTGGCGTTTCCGCCTCTTCTTGCGCTTCTGGTGCTTGCTGGAGGCCTGCGCGCCCGCCTCGCCCGCGCTGTCCGAGTCCTTGGCGCTGTCTGACGTGAGCGACTCGCAGTTCTGCAGCCGCAGGTCCGACTCGCTCTCCACGTAACGCTCCACCTTGATCTGCATGGGGCCCAGCCCCCCGAAGCCGTCCTCGGCCGCCTTGGGGTTCTCAAAGTCCGAGTGTTCGAAGCTGTCGTCGCTGTCGCGGCTGTCGGGGTTGCTGGAGCTGTGGCCGTCGTCATTGCAGTTCATGTCGTTGTCACACGCATTGCCCGACTTCTTCCGGTCGGGCTCAGGATCTTCGCTGTTTTCAGATTGATTCCCCTTCTCGTCAGACTTGGAGTTCTCATTGTCCTCTGTGCAGGGCCCAGGGTTGGGGGAGGGCAGGGCAAGGGGAGAGAAAAGAGGACATTGCATTAGCAGGGCAGAACCAGCTTCTCACCCGGAGACTGGGGGAGGAGGGAAAGAGGTGTCCTGTGCTCAGTTACACCGCCTTCCAGTGACTTTAATGATCGGGCAGTCTCTGTTGAGGGCCTAGATTAGCTGAAGTTGGGACAGGAGATGTGAAAAACGACACTGTGTCAATGGGACTGGTCCATGGCTGGCTCTTTTAGTAAGCTTCTGCTATCCAGGCCCTCAGAAAGGCCAGGACACCTGGTGCAAATGCAAGATGGTAGGTCTCCTCTTATGCGTAGGCACACTGAAACTTTAGAAGTTCTGCAAAGATACCCAGGGGGGCAAAATTAACCTGGGATAAGGTGCCAGGTATACAGATGATGGAATGCCAGGTGACATTTAAAGAGCTCTGGACTTCCACTGGTGCAGAAATTTTTTGTTATCATTATTGGAAGCCACACCCTCTAGCAAGTGTTTTTCCATAACACTTAGATTCATTATCTGATTCAGTGTATGTTTAAATTTGCTTCTGTCTCTTTCCTCTGAAGGAATATAACTGGTGGAGATAATCCATGTACTTCACTGCTGTAGTAAAGAATTTCCAAATTATACAACTGAAGGGGCAGGAGTATTATCAAGATCCACTATGAATATTTGTCCCTTCCTCCTGCCTTCCTGAAGCTGTGTCCTGTGTATAGACATTCATGTTGCTGTCACTGTATTGGAGGAGCCCTGATGACAGGAAGAGACTTGTCATCTTCTGCATTTTAGGGAGAATTCATTTTCTTAGTAAATAGCCTCAAAATATGTAAGGATGATGGTGATTTTTATGGCTCCCCCATGATGGGTTTGGATGGCAGCCTGCATTAGAACCTTGCAAAAACATGCAACTTCTCTGGCCTTCATTTCCCCTTCTGTAGCTGTAGTGGTAGGATTAAAATAGGCTTAGAAGTTCTTGCAGCTGTAACATTTTATGAATTCTGTGCTCCCTGACTTTGCATGTCAATGGAAGGCAATTGAGAACTGAAGGAAAAGTAAAATTTTGTATTAGTTTTCCTATTCTCAAATAACTATTTAGGAAGACTACTTCCCAAAATAATGGGGAATAGTAAAGCATTCAGAAAACAAATAGCAGTCTGGCACCCTGCAAGAGGCATTCACCCATATATAAGTTATTCTGCTTTAGAGGTTCAGTAGCTCAGATCAGTTCTGAACATTTGGGGCTTTCCAAGGCACAAACTTTCTTGGAGCTGGCAGGATTATTCCTATACCTGTTTGCAGGAAAGAGGCTTGAGTTAACTGTGGGACTAAAGCATGACTCTTGTTGGCTAGGGAAGGACTAACACTAAATCTACCTATCTGTATGTTTATGTACATATATAGAACAACATACACATATACACATGTATGTATTTATATGTTATGTAAATATATGCATGTATGTGTAGAGACGATAGGAGACTCAGTAATAAGTTGGTGTGCACATCGTGATATAAAATTGGGCTGTTTGGTTCTCTGGCCATGGCCCTTTGGCCACCACCCCACCCTTGCATTTGGAGAGGCAACCTGAAGCTACAGAACATGGAGAAGTAGTAATACCTGTAATACCTGAGGTGTCTTTAGAGTCAGATTCAGAGTCAGATGTCTCGGAGGATTCGGAAGTTTTCTCTGGCAGGTGGGGGAGCTGTGCGATGTCCATAGGTGTGTCCTTGTACTCAGGGTTGCTGTGTGGAGGGAGGCATTCATTAGGAGGGCAGGCACTTACTCTGCATAATTTGCTGTGAACCATTTCTGACACTTCCTTGCCACAGTTGTGGAGTTTAGAAAGTTTAGAAGACTAAACAGAAAATCATTTTTTAGCTCTTTGTGGGACTATTTCGAAGCTTAGATCGCATGTTCCAGGTTCCAGGTGCACTCTGTTACAGTGACTGAATATCCAAATGGGACATAAAAAGCACTAAAAATCTTTTAAACTAATCAGTCAGGTACTACTTGGGGTAAGGGAACTGTGCTTCTTGACATTCCTCCCAGTACAGCACCTGAGGGGCTGGGGGAATAAGTACTCTCAGCAACTCATTCCCATACCTCCCAGTGTGCCCTATCTTTCCTTGGGCTCCTGATGGATCCATTGCCACAGTACCCTTGTCCAACCCCCTTAGTGTAACTTCTCAGTTTTTCTGATGGTTCCAGAGCTAGTGGTGGTGGTGGTGGTGGTGAAGGGGTGGGGGAGGTGAGCCCTCAGTGCCTAACGATCTGTCAGATGCACAGGTGCACCTTGGGATGTGTGGATTATGGCTACCGAACTGTCAACACACCCATTACAATCACATTTTCATCTTCTCATGTGGTGTACACCTGTGACTTGTTAGCTAGCGATCTGATTGCAGTGTGTGTGGGGGATCCCAGTGTGAGAGGGGCCCTAGCAGAAAGGATCTAACCCCATTTGCGCAAACGTATTTAATTTTTGTTCTATTTTTAATGTAGAAACAAGCCACCTGTGGAAGTAGAATATTTCTGGTCAGTTTGAGATGGCTATCTTCTGGAAAGCCCAATGTATGAGCCTCTGTAATCTGAAGGCACAAGCAGAACATATTGCCTTGAAATGGGAAGTGCCTCTTCTATGTATCCAGGATGGCCAGCCAAACAGATGATTATTGACTCATTTGCTAACCTCTAGTGAAGTGAAATTCCCATACTAAAGAGGCACTCTTTCAGTAACTACTCTTAAAACTTCAAAAGTTCCTTTGAGGGTTAATTCAGCCAGAAGGATTATCAGGCATTTACTCCTTAGTGTGAATTAGCTTTCGCAGTAGAGTTTTCCAGATAATCAGATGAGACTAATGATAGAAAGGTAGACATAGCATTTTCTCTGAATAATCTGAGTCTGTATTATAAGGGAGGAAAGAAGACAGAAGGGCAGTAATTTCAGAACAAGTTAGATTGAGCTTGGTTAGGCCCTGGGACTGAGGGATTCTGGGCAGGAAAACATTTTGAAATGAAAACATGGTTTGGTTTTTAGCGAAGAACAAAAGCTATGAATAGGGGGAAGAAAAGCAAACTTTAGTAGTTGCTGCTTTGCCGAGGTCTCTTCCTTTTCTTTTTAGATATCCAGCCTATAGATGGGTTGTTGGGTGGCTAGCTTGGTGGAATGCCTATACTAAAGCTCATTGACATCACTTTCTTTTGTCTAGGTGCCATGGGGTTTAAATGGTCACTTGTCCTCCAATTTACTGTCCTTTTATTGCTGACCTCACTGTAGGTCATTGGGTCAGCTGGAAAGGTCTGTCACATTTGAAATAGGTTCTACAGCCCGAAGTCTGACCTTTGAAATCCAAACTTCCTCCTTCCTGTCTATTATAGAATATGATGGAATAGGATCACCAAGCAGTCATGAAGTTTTGTACCATTTGACTCCATGCTAGGTCAGTGGTATCAGTCCGAAGTTGTTCAGACTGACCTTACCCTTACCATAGGAGGTAGGCTGGGAAGTCATGGGGTTGATGAGGCAGTAAGAAAGGTTCAGAGAGGAAAACAGTCTTCCAAAATGGGAATAATAACTAGACAGAAATTCTTAATGTCCTGTTCACATCAATGTGGAAGACAATATGTAACCTTTTACACACTGTTTTATGCTTTGTAGTAATGAGTCTGCTTGGCTTATTACTAAAGAATATAACGTCATAATACCTTGTTTCTATTTTCTGCTTAGGCACCTGAGTATCACTTCCTGCATTACATATAAATGACTGTTCCATGAAGCAATATCTAAAAGGATCCCTCGATATCAGAACCCTCTGGAGCACATCAGGACTACAAGGGATAGTTTGCATGAAGACCCTAGGAGAAAGCCCCAAGAAATGCACATACTTTTACCTTGGGAGAGAATTAACATAGAGCAGTAGAGGTCAAAAAAGATAAAAGAAAGTAGATTAATGAAGATTCTTTTAAGTGGTCGCCATTAAGGCCTTCTCCACAGCAATAATCATTAGTGTCTGATTGATACCCTGTTGGAAGCAAGCACATTCGTGCCTTCAAGTCATCATGAAAGTATGTGAAACACTGAAAGGCCACTGTGCTGATAAGCCAGACTTGTTAGCATCTCAGCTCCATTTGGCTGTCTCAAGGAAAAATGGGATTCAGGTAGTCCCTGTCAAAATTATCAGCCAAAGGGCACCAACTTCCATTCATTAGACCTACTAGAAATTTTCTTACTTAGACCACATGTGGACCCTCTTGGTGCCTTTAGGGACACAGAAGCCAGACTGGTATGATGGTGGTGGGAGGAAGCTAAGTCAAGCATTGTGAAACTGCCTTGAAATGGGAAATGCCTCTTTATGCCTCTTAGATTGATGGAGAACCTTCTAGAAGATTCGCTCCAAATACAAATCACCCTACCTGTTGGTCTTACTTTTCTTCTTGTTTGGGTCCAAAAGCAGAAAGTAGGGTAAGAGAAAAGGTATGGCACAACAGAGTTTACGAAGCGATTGAGCTTGGACTTATTTATGGATATAAGTTTGAAGACATACTGTAAGAGCAGGGAACATGTCCGAGATCACATCAATAGGCAAAGGAAAATTGTCTCCACTTTTTATCATGAGATCATCATCATTCTGGCAAAGCAGTTTATGTTTCTCCAGATTTAAGTGAGAATCAAACCATATAGAGCAGGCTGAGGGCATGGAAGGGATGATGAGCAATAGGAATGTTACATACTCTGTCCCTCCTCTCCATCTGTTTTGCTCATTTTTCACAAGGAGTAGAGAGCATGAGTGAGAGTGTGGAGGCTATAGGTAAAAGTGTGCGTCTTGAATACTTCAGCTAAATATTTCTGCCTCAGGCTGAAGTCTGTATCATGTTTTTTTTTTTGGTCTGAGCATTTGTGAGAAAAACCAAAGCAATTTTTTGACAGAGTTGGCCAAATGTTGGCAACTCAAGAATTACTAGAATTTTGCAAATCTTCCCTGAAAGACCCTTCCAACATTTTGATTTTCTCACATTTCTTTGAAACTTGTGGAAAGGGGAGCAGAATTTCCATAAAACTCTGTACTACTTATTATTTAAAGATAATATAACTTTACATCATTGGGCCGCACAACTTATAACTGGGAAATAAAACAATTAGAAGATATACCTAAGAAGATAATTCACCCAGATGATGTTCTTTTCATTTGCATTCTTGGCATTAATAGCTATGGTAGCACTAGACTGTATCCAGATATATCCTCCATTCTTCTGCATCCAGCGATAGTACTTCGTCACACACTGACCTTTATTCAGCACTGGAGGAAAAAAAAAACCAAAACAAAACAGAAGGGATGGTAATAAGACAAAGGACATGTGATTCTCATCTGTGCAAATCCTCAAGCCCAGAACCTCAACCCCTTCTGTGGGCTTAATGTAAGATGCCACTAGTAGGGCTGGTAAAGTCAACGGTTCAGTGGAGTGGCTGTGCTGCAGGAGGGTTATTGGCATCTGTATCAAGACTTTATTTCTTTTCTGGCAGAAAGGAAGAATAAGAGGACTACAAATCCTTTGGCTCACAGAGCACTTACTACATTGTAAATATTGTCACTGGGTTTGACATGAGATGGGAAGCAGAGGATATAGGGATGTGATTTATTTGGAAGTCCTCTTTGAGGTCTGGATATTTGAATGGTTCTAAAGATGCTTTGCCTCTCTCTTTCCATCATTTCGATCTCTGTTTCGATCAGTTTCCAGCAATACCAACTGGCACCTTTACCCATCTGTCCCTTTTGATCTTGGCTAACCAAATTTATTGTTCTCAGATGGATTGAATTGATACTGCTCAGTTGGGAGAAATTCAGGTGAGACTGCTGAATGTTGGGATGAAATAAATCCCCTCATTGAGTCAGAGAGAATCCCTGGCCTAAAGGGGAGACATGGAATTGACTTGGCTAGAGCCAAACAGAGTGACAGCTCCACACAGACTCTGAAATATGACCCAAAATGAAGGAACGAGTAAAAACAATCAGTAATGTGAAACGGTGCCATTAAATACCCACTGAAAGAGAGCTTTAAAATGCAGATGTTAAAAATGATACTTTAACCAAAATCTTGCCAAGTTGAAATTGATTTGATTTGTATCTGGGTACTCCTGAGCTAGTAAAAGGGGAAAGTGCAGTAAATCATCCCCTGAAATAAAGTGCTATGGAAGGGAATGGTTTAAAGGATGCTGAAAATGTACAGAAGCTGCTGTTTGGAGTTGGTTATGGATCACAGCAACTCTATGCTCCCCCCCACCCCCACCCCAGGAAGTCCCACCCACTGGTTGGCCACTAGAGGGCAGTATGCACTCATCTATGTGGCCCACTTTTGGCATGTCCTTGTCTCCGTCTGTTGAAATGAAAAACCTCTAACTGCTGTAATAAATTTGGCTAAATTAGCTGCTAAATGGTTATCTCAAGTAATATGTATTTGCATTAATCATCTTGCTCTAAACCAGAACAAGCCAGAGTCCTAAAGACGTAGTAAATTCATATTGTCCATTTAATTACGGCTAATAAGTGCTTCATATACAATAGTTTCATGAAGTACATTTTGATTTTTTTTGGAGGTGTGTGTGGATGGATAAAGGGGAGTCACTTTCAAAAAAAGTCATGTTTCAAGATACTGACTCTTGCAGTCATGTCGCGAGCCACTCTCCCTGCCCATGAAAGTGATCACAAATGAAACCTCCACATGTTATATCTTTAAACATATATGCTCTGATGCTTTTCTCCAAAGCTCCCCTTTTTTTTTCTCACAGTATGCTACATGCATGGTAGTAAAATTTGATAATAATGTCTTCACTGTTGCTTGAAAAAGGTTTGCCTTGATGAGTGTTTCATGTCGTGGCAGGTTTCATTCTGAAAGGACTGCACAATTGAGGGTATTTCTAAGGTCTGAAACATCACCTTCTCTTGGTGATGAGGCTCCACAGGTAGCATTGTACTCTCCTTTTGTAGGCAATTGTAAGTTCTGACAGTATGCATGCATGACTCTAAAACTGCGTAGTGAAGCTGAAAGCAGTAAAATACTAACTCTGCCATCCAACTCTTCTGTCAGATCATTGTTGCATGCAACAAGATGTGCTTTTATTCAAATCTGCTCAACCTGGTTAACTTAATCGAGGAGTTGTGGGTTGTGTCATTCTGTCCACTTTCTTCACAGAGAAAACATACACTACTTCAGTCAGGCTGGTAGCACAGTTCTGTTTATATTTAAAATAAAGGATAATATCAAATAGTTGTGGTATTTCTGTTTGCTTTTTGGTGGTATTGGGGTTTAAACTAGGGCTTCCTGCTTGCCAGGCAAGCACTCTTATCACTTGTGCCACATTCCAGCATGGTTGTTATATTCTTAATTAAAAGGAAGAATCCCCTTTTTAGAATCAAATGAAAACAACAAGGTGGGCCCGGTCAGCTCATCCTGCATGGGAATTCTGGACTAGAATGTGATCCAAAGCAGGTAAAAGTTAAAAGATTCTTACAATATGGAATACAGAAAAGGGCAAACGAATAAAGCAGTTATAAAATTAGAAATTGCATCAACATAAAGCTCATCCCATCATTTTTCTAATAATGCAGCAGACACTTGGTATTTTTGAGTATGTAGTTATAAGGAAGCCATCACTGAGACGAATGCTCAAGATACAGAATTCAGTGCTATACTGATGATGCCTGATTCATTTTCCCCATAATGCTACCCAACTTCTTCTAAAGACCTGCCATTGTAACATCTCATATATTCACTTTTCACTTGAATTAGCGCATTACTATTTACTTTGCTTTTGGGGAGCCATTTGCTTTTGATGGGAGGCCGATTTTTTTTACAATTTCAGGGCAAGGAAGCAGCAGATTACAGTGATTTAAACACAATTAATGGCAACTGAAGATTGTGAGCTCCTCTGCATTAACTGAGCTACGTAATTCAAATGTGGGAATTAAAACTTTTTGCTTTTTGAAAGGCCTTTCATTTACTTATTTTGATCATGTTTAGTCAGAGCCACATACGGTAAATTTGCAAAGGTGGGCTTACTGTACTTTTCCTTCAACTGAAACCCCAACAGCGAGTAGATTATCTGGGAAAACATCTGCCTCTGTGGTTCTCAGCCATCTACTGTAGAAAGAGCTGAAAGGCTTATTTGCTAAAGGACTGATACCATGCCATCTTTTTGAGATGAAGAAGGGTGACCTGGTCTTCTTAAACACATCTGTGCATCCTGAGATGATAACTACCAACTTACTAGGATGCATAATTATGTTAGTATAGTCTTTACCAAACCCAGGCTAGGGGTCATCTGCTGAGAGAAGAGACCCAAATGAAAGAGAGGCAGTCTCAGTGAGTGGTGAGTTCTGATGGGAGGACAGGATTGAAGGACTGGCGAGCAAGGGGTTCCTTGGGGAGTCAGGGAACTATGATATTGCCCTTAGGTTATTGTGGTGAATACCAAGAAGCAAGTTTTAGCGCCCACAGCGGGCAGCTGAGGAAGACAAGATTGATGTAACTCATCATTTTGCCCTGGGCTAACCTGACAGAATTTTAAAAGGGTAAACGTTTTAGCATGGCCTTACATGATGACTTTTTTCTGGAGATGAGTGAAACTCAGACCCCTGCACCCTTGCATAGGGCACAGGGCATAGGCCATAGGGAATGCAGATAACTGCAAATACGGTGTGGTATTAGTGCCCACGAAATTGAAATGCTGACCAAAGATGACCCAAGTTGCTTTTGTTTTTGAGGAAGTTTCATGAAAGAGGTTATAAGGGTGTTTTACTTTTAAAACGAACAAGGAATTTTTGGGGGGAAGGGGCTTGGTTCATCTAGAAAATAAATTTATGATTTGTGGGATGAAGCTTATTTCTTGAAAGAAAGAAAAACCATACTGGCAAATCAGTTGGATCATTCCAGCTGCGCCAGAGGCAGGATCTGACAGCTTTTCCTGAGCTCATGCGGGCCTAATCAGCTGAAGAAGAAAAGCCACCTTGGTGCCAGTTTGAGAGAGATTTTTAGTGGGTAATAAATTAGAGAACTTGAAAAACACAAAAAAATACCTTCCTTTGATTCTCTTGAATTTTGTGGCTGTGTTCTTACTTACAAATTTTAGATGTAGATTGCAGAGCAAAATGAAAATGTTTATGTCTGATTATTTGGGAAACCAGAAATAAGTACAATGGTTAGTTGATATGGCATTCCGAAAGAATAGTTGAAAAGATATAGGTACCCATCAAATCAATGAGTTCAGGAATAAATTCATACCTATGTATATTCTATAGGGAATGGAAGCAGAAGGAGAGAAAGAGATACGTTGATTATAGCCCTACAATTGCATCCAAGAGATACTGGTTAAGTTTCCAGTATATAAGCTGCATCTTCTTTTTCACTGCTGTCCCAAATCCTTAGGTTGAGCAGCTGGTGTGACCTTCAAATGAATTCACCCAGCACATGATAACTGTTTTTAAAGGGAATGTGATAGGAATTAGTTTAAAATTCGAATGGTTTCTTTTAGATTTCTCTCATAGGTACATACAGAAACATAGGGAAGATAACTAGATTTTCACATGTTTACTTACAATTCAGAATAGTCTAGACATAATTGTGAAGGGCTCTGCCACCATATAAGATATTACCTTTATTCCTCTGGGCCTAGATAACCAACTGTTTTGGCTGTCAGTGCTCTTAGGAAAATCAAGATGTGGGGTAAGCACTACCTCACCCTTTAACCCAAGCTGCCTTAGAGTTACAAGCGATGCTCTTCAGAGAACAGAGGTGACCCTCCACTGGGGAGAAGAATATAATACAGATTAACAGAGAAATTGAGTCTTCCTTTTTGAGCTAGGCCACTGCTCACCTCACAATGTGGGGGGCTTTTTGCAAAACACTACCCCCCTCTAACTCTAGAAGGAGTGGAAAATATGGTTCTATCAGAAGAAAATTGCAAAACGCTTGTATTTTAGAACATGTGACCTTTTACCATCAAATACTCCCTCAAAACCAAAACAAAAAAAAAGGGACTTGGTAAACTTTATTGAAAATCCTTTAAAAATGCCACCTGGTTTTTCCATTCAGGCTTAGTGGTTGGCATACAAGAAATGTGCTGCTTGTAGAGAATAATTACTTGTCTCCAAGACCCAGGAGCCTTTTGCTACAGTGGGTGTCCAGGTCCTAGCACACAGATACCAGCTAAGGGATTTCAGTTTTCCTTGGGAAAACTTAGTTCACGGTCCAAGGCTGATGCCTGAAAGGACATAAAGGAAGCCAGTGTCTGTGGCAGGAACGT